AGCTAACTAACTTCATTCGCATCAACGCCGCGTCTGCCCACCATACCGCCGTCACCTGACAAATCATCTTCAGTGCGTGTGAGAAGCACCCACAAAAAACAAGGTGAGCTAACTTCATTCGCATCAACGCCGCGTCTGCCCACCATACCGCCGTCACCTGACAAATCATCTTCAGTGCGTGTGAGAAGCGCACACCCACAAAAAAGCGCTGGGTAATAACGTCAACTGCGATTTCTCTACACCCATTCCAAGGCATGTCGTTCCACGTGCAGTGTGTCGCCTTGTTTTCGGCGCTCTGCATAACGTCCCGCACTCAGGTATATGTGCCAGGATCTAGCCCACTTCTTGACGTTTCGTACGGCCGAATATGAACAAAGATATACGTTAATGGGCAAAAACCCCTTGCATGTCAACATTCAATGACCATTCGCCATATTCACTCATCCATCGGTACCTTTCCCACCCCAGACTGCCGATTCGACCATGTTCACCCCGATTGTGTCGGTCCTCTCCCGACATCCAACGGATACTCTGATCTCCTGACACGTGTCGACCACCTTACACGTGAACGTTGACGTACAAGACAACCTTTTGCCAATGAACGTATGACTTTGTTCATATTCTGGCATGCGAAACGTTGAGAAAAATCATTCAGAAGCTGAACCCTTTCAGTGCCTAACTACCATGTCATCAGAAGGAAGCACGAGGGGTGGAATACTGCCAGGATGCCCAAGCCTAGACAGGGGAACTCGAGAGACAGGTCGAATTCGAACCACGGACCTTCCAATCAGTAAATTCGGGATCCAACTAATGAGCTATCTCGTCCTCAACGAAACGTTAAGAAATGAGTATGACCGTTGCACACGTCATGCAGAGCGCCGAAAACAGGGCGGCGAGTTGCGCATCCAACGACAAGCCTTGGAATGGGTGTGGAGAAATCGCAGTTGACGTTACCCAGCGCTTTTTTTGTAGGTGTGCGGTTCTCACATGCACTGAAGATGATTTGTCAGGTGATGGCGGTATGGTGGACAGACGCGGTGTTGATGTTAGGTGTTGATGCGATTGAAGTTAGATTACCTTGTGCTGTGACGTAATTAACTTGATAATCAGAAGGTGACAAGCACTAACAAATGTCTGTTTTACCGGAATCATGATCACAATAGTTAGGTGCACATTAATAAATATGAATACAATACGAAAAGTGGAATGAACCAAAGGGGAGGGACTTATCGTTTGAGGACGACCGTTGAAAGTTCCTGAATGAAGGTCCGGACGCGGGACGTGTCTTCCCTGCAGTATAGCTGCTACATGTGTTCCGTAGCTGCCCGTGGAGACTTGTGGAGCTCGGTTGACTTCCTTTCCTGTACGCGCGTGTTTTTGGGCCGAGTTGCATGCCTATTTGTTGTGTGCAATGTGAAGAGAGGGGTGTCCATTCTTGATTTGATAGTTGCATAAACAGGAATACAGACAGCTTGAGCTATTGTGGTTGATGGTCGCGTGGCGCCTGGCGCGTGACGCAGGTGGTAGCCGCGTAAACAAAATGGAAAGGGAATCGGAATGTACACGTTGTTGGTTACGGTTGCAATTGGGTTAGGATATTTGTGACGCATGATCTAGCCAGTGACCGCTACATACCCATGCACCAGTTGCTCCGTATATGCGGCCTATCTTATCCGAGTTCGCCGTAGTCTTATTGTTCGATCGGTCAAATGGATAGGGTTTCTAGCGATTTCCCGATCGCAATCGAATTCTGTCAATAACGAACAGAACTTTTTGTTTTTCAATCTAATTTTCTCAGGTTAGATTAGAGCGATCGCCTTAGCAAATGGGCTTCACTCACAACTGGGTAGTTTTGTTGATGCTGCCCCTTGTTCCATCAGGATTGGCTCAACATAGCACCGCTAATCACCGTACCCCTTGATGCGTGGCTCCGTAACTGTCACTTGTGATTAGAGTAACTTCAGCCATTTTCGTCACCTCTATTCACCCACCAGCGCTGTGTTATCCGACCTACAGACGCAGTCCCGTTTGTCCGGAGAAGTGTAAAACACTTGCTTGTGATGCATGTACCTTTGGTGACAACTAGCAGCAAGCTACAGAAGTCAGAAATGGCGCGGTAACTAAGGCTTTTTGTGAGGATGAACTTGCTAGACTCCTGGTGCACATTTTCAGGATAGTAGAAAACAGAACTTTGGCTCCAGCGACGATACTACAATCATGACACAGCTCGAATCGGTCGTGGAATAATTCTGATTGTAACTTTCCATATTGATTTGGAACTCCGTTTTGGTTGTTTTCGGATCCAGTCGATCCAGAAGCCTTGGCAACCAACTGCCATCTGATCAGTACTCTAAATAGCTGTGTTTCGGTATTGCCAACATGATTTATTCTCCAATGTCCCATCCATCTTCTTCCTGAGTACCAGACTTGCATAACCCCCTACTTTGCGTTGCTTTGCCACAGAGTCTACAATTTTCATGCATGTTTTGTTGTGTTGTACGCCACATTCACTAGTTCATTCGTTGCGTTCATATACTTTGTTGCCCAACTAATTATCTGTGTACTTTCTCCACCGAAAGATCTCTCGCCGTCGAATGGAGTCGCTATGGTCTGCGTTTCAACGCCATCGCTCCCGGCCCTATCTACACTAAAGGTGCTTTTTCTCGACTCGATCCGACTGGGGAATTTGTAAAACGACTGCCATCCCGAATCCCGGCACAAAGGCTTGGTACACCCGAAGAATTGGCCAATCTTGCTGCCTACCTGCTTTCGGACTACTCTAGTTGGCTCAATGGACAGGTAAATGGGTATACGCAAAAGTATATAACTTCAGCATTGTGTGTGCATGAATACTCAACACAGTTTTTCCCACATGTCCTGTCTGCAGGAGGATGCACGCCATAACATACTTTGCGGTTTGTTATAGAGAAGACTGTTGGTAGCTAAGGTAGCGTAGATGGTCGTTGGTTTGTTCATTGAGCTGAGCAATTTGATTGCAAACGTTTCATCACCAGTCGAGGTGGCACGATCAGTTTGCTGTTAGGGAGCGTAGCGATGGGTCGGTGGCTATACATTAAGTAGTATTGCGTGCGTTAATCTACGTGCTGCAAGCCAGGGCTGACCTCCGATCAAGATTAGTTATTCAGTCGCACGTTTCCATTAGTTGCCCTGTTATCCTGCATCCTAATTGATCGTCGACCACGTGACTTTTGAGCTTGGACTCCCCTACCCTCGATGTTGGAATGACCTCTGTCCCTTACCCCGCTGGATTCCGTCTTGTAACTCCAAAGGGTTCCTTGTTTCGTGGTTTATGAATCCGATATGCGGCTCTCCGTGAGTATTTCAGTTGAGATGTTGGTCTTTTGCACACGGTGGTGCGTAAATTGGGTTTAGTTCAATGCGTCGGTTGATCGAATCCGCCATGCACCCAGGAATTCCATTCCGTGTCTCGTCTCTCGGAATGCCAACATTTTGCGTTTTCCAGATTGTATTTATGACCTTCTTGGTCTTATTGTATGGATATCAAGGGTAGAGGTTCTCGTCTGCTGAAGACCGCGTTGTCTTTCTTTACTCTTGTGCATGATTTCGTCCCAGTGTGTCCAACGTAGAATCTGTTGTAGTCGGTTTGGTATCCCACGTTGTTCCTGTTGGTTTTTTCTTGGTTGTCCTCCGGTCTTAAGATCAGTTTCCTTAAAGTGCCATTCAGTTTTTGCGCTACGAGGATTCCTTCATAAGCTAATAAATGAGTTTAGATATATTCTTGATATAAGGTAGAACTACCTGTCTGGTTGCTTGTTCCTGCTGTTGTTGATATGTCCACTTCAAGCTGCTCCGAATAGATGGTTTTCTTCCTTCCATAGTTCTGATACTGCAGTGTGCCTCTGCCCTCTTGGACTGGGTTTGGACGCAGCTCTTATTGTGGTCCACTTCTTGGCACGCCCACCTGATGTAGAGTGAATCTTCAGAACTAAAAGACCCGTGTCTTGACTGATGTTTTCCCATTTCTACTGGAAAAGATATTCCTGTGTAGAAAATGACTCGCCTGAATATTTTGAGCTACGTGAGCGTAAATCACTTGGCTATGTGATTGGGGTACTGCATTCTGGAAACCCTTTTCGGATGAGTCTTTTGCTTTTCTCGTTGGATTCAGAGAAAGCTGAACTTCTCGCGATTCTGCAGTCCTCCGTTTATGTCGTCAAACTACCTAGAGGTCAGTCTCGGACATCACATTTCGGGGTGATGGTATCTCGCTTGCGGCTACCTTCTTCCCATGCCAATATGTAGATACTTTTCCCTGAACTCGAAATCTAAGCTGTGGTGTGATCCGTCAAGCCAACGCTAACACGCATGTTGACGAGGTCAGCCAGACACTGAATGTTTTCGCGACCAAACGCAATGCAACTAGTGAAAGAAAGCGGCTGAAGTCATCGTATACCAGGATTACATCAGCTCAATGCTAGGTTTTACTATACTGACAAAGTCAGAGAAATTCTAACCCGGTTTCTGTATAAAAACTACTCATTTTATTGAATATCTCCCCAGTTCAATCTAGGTATCCATATCCTCTTGTGGGCGGTGGACTTTCATCGAAAGGTTGGAGGAGGTTCTTGCTACATGTTCGACACTTCCAAGAATGATCAGTGGGCTTGTGACAGGATTGAACCATATTTCGGGCGTGTGATAATGCGCTCGACGGCTGATTTACGCCCCCCTATGTATATTCTGGTCATTTACATTAGAACAAACCAGTTTGTGCGGACGGTGCCGTCTCGACTTCTCCCTTCAGTCATACCACCTGTTGCGTGAATGACACCCACATGCAGGTCAGGAGACGTCCAATCACGCTTCTGTCACACAGACTGCCGGAAACGTGACGCGCTGTGTAATTAGGGGCGCCCAGTATTCGCACAATGGAATAGGATTTTTGAAAACTATGGCGTGTCCCTGATGGACTAAGGCAATCGGGCAATTGGGTTCAGAGTACCAGTCCAAACTTTTGAGCCCCTTTTAGGCATCTCGGAGTCTCAACGATGCTGGGCAGTGATTCCGCCAGAGGCATGATTGTTTCAGTGGACAATGAAATTTGGTGAGCTGCAAAAAGATGGACGTAGATTAGGACGGTTTTTGGTTTGAGCACATACGCAACAAAATGCAACATTTTGGCGCAAAAAGTTTTACTCCACTCTTAAGGTTTTTCCACCTAAAAACATTGTGCGGCTAATGGACACCGTAATTAGGTGGAGTATTTGAAAAACGCGCCTTCCTGTGCGACTTTATTTGGCGCCCATTGGCCGCACGATGCTCTTAGTTGCAAAACCTTTGCAACTAGAATAAACGTTTTTGTGCCAAGATCTGCATTTTGTTGTGTATGTGTTCTAACCAAAAACCATTGTAATCTGCGTTCATACTGTTCACTGAAGCACTCATACCTCTAGCGGAAAAGTCTGGTGGGATAGTTTTCCAGCACCCCTGAGACCCCGGGATGCCTAAATGGGGCTCAAAAGTTTGGGCTCCTACTCCGAACTCAATCGCCCGATTGCTTTAGTCCATCAGAGACACGTCACAGCTTTCGAAAATTCAATTCCATTGTGCAAATGCTGAGCGCGCTTTATTTCCCCTGACATTCAAATGGAGAATATAGTGTGACACTATTTGTACGTCATCATCGTGGACAGCGTGACACGATAGTGTTCAACATTAATGCTTCGCTGCTGTACGTGTAAACCAGTTATTGACTACCGTGGTGCCACGTTTTGGTTCTCACTCTGTTTGGAAAAATAATTGCCGAGGTTGCTCTTTCGACCAAATTGACCTCTGAGCAAGTCTCACTCAACTCTCATTTCTCAAGACGAGATGTGGATATCCTACTAAGAATTGTCAGATTATTTATTCACCAGATTCATTAGTTATCACACCAGCGGCTGAAACTATTTGACCAACCCACCTGTCTCTAAAAGTGCAGTAAAGTCTTTTGAACAACCTCGTAGCGACCTGACGCAATTGTAGCCTACATACCTTGACCTCAGCCACTTCAGTTAACTGGTCACGTCGTCCTTGGTCACAGAAACATTCCGTGTTTGACTGTCCTCACCATGGCAGTACCCGTCGTTCACCCCAGCCATCGATCCAACGTCAACGAACTTCTTATACGCCTTATGCCGGAACTACCGAT